TGACCTCACCTGTCAAGCTGAGATAACACTGGATATGAGAAGACAAGAAGCTCAGCCCAAGTAAGCCGATCCCGGATTCCAGATCTCGGATCCCAGATCCCAGAAGACAAGATCTCGGCCTAAGATGATTAAGTCCGAGAAGAGAAGAGTTTACCGAGATTATGTTTAACACTTGTTGAAATTTGTGGACAATTTACAAGTTGAAGTTAAATCGAAATCATTGTTTAACACTTGTTGAAATTCTGTGTGAATTTACAAGTTAAGTTAAACCGAAATCATTGTTTAATATTTGTTAAAATTTGTGGACAATTTACAAGTTGAAGTTAAACCGAAATCATTGTTTAACACTTGTTGAAATTTGTGGACAATTTACAAGTTAAGTTAAACTGAAATCATTGTTTAAACTTGTTGAAATTTGTAGCAATTTACAAGTTGGTTAAACCGATATGATGTTTACCACTTGTTGAAATTCTGTGTGAATTTACAAGTTGGTTAAACCGATATGATGTTTAACACTTGTTGAAATTTTGTGTGAATTTACAAGTTGAAGTTAAACCGAGATCATATTTAACACTTGTTGAAATTCTGTGTGAATTTACAAGTTATAGTTAAACCGAGGTCGTATCGAAAGGGAGATGGTTTAACACTTGTTGAAATTTTGAGAAAAATTTACAAGCTGAAGTTAAGCCGAGGTTATGATAAAGGACGATGGTTAAAACACTTGTTGAAATTTTTTAGAAAAATTTACAAGTCAAGCTCAAGCAATATCTGCGTACTTGCCGAAGCTACCAGGTTGTCAAAACTTGAAATATGGAAAACTGAAGTCTTAATAGAAGACATTGAGAAAGTGACAAGTCCTAAGCAACACTTGTAAAAATATTTGTTATAATATTTTCAAGTGTTAGGACAAGGCCGAGATGAGCAAGATTAGAAGTTGTGACAGAGGTATTTTACCCGAAGAGATTGCACGGTCAAGGTGTACTTTGAAGACATGCAAATAATTCTAAGTGTAGAATCATACAAGAACAGAAAAAAAAAAGACATTCATTCAAAGAAGAAATTAGAGAAATGCATTTAAAGAAGAAAGAAGGCACTTCGGCCTGAACATTGAAAAATAAATTATTCAGACTACAAAAATGGCACGTCGACCGGATTAAAAGCATACAAAGAAGGACAAAGTACAAGGTACAAGGTACAAGGAGTAAAAGAAGGAAACAAAACTACTCGGCATCAATGGCAAGATATAGAAGACAGTTGGGAAGACTTCTCAGTAGCCTTTTCGGCCTCGAGCTCAGCATTGATCTCCCGAAAAGTTTGATCAAAGCTCTTCTCGACGATTGGCACCTCGGAGTTTGAAGGCAAGGTTTGAAAGCAAGAATCTGAAAAAAGACACTGAAAACAAGAATGTAATTCGTAATCAAGAATGGTGATAAAACTATCAGGAGATCAAGACAAAAAGATTGCACAGGTGTGTCAAGCCAAGAACAGTGGCAGAAATCAACAGATGTGTGAACAGTGTGCATTCAAGAAGATGATTTGGAAACAACGGGTAAAACAGCAATGATGATTAACAATGAAGCAGAGCTTCTTGGAAAGCAACAAGAAATAAAACCAGGAGGAAAAGTGGCTTACCAGAAAGAGGGAAGCCGGAATGAGAATTGCCGAAGTCTGACGACGGATGGAAAATGACAGAATGACGTAAGCTTCACCAGAGGAGAGGAACGAAAACAGTTGCAGAGCTTGAAAGCTTGGAACAATGACGGATTTAAGCAAAAGAGTTAGAAAAAAAAAGGCTAGAGGATTGAAAGAAAAAAGAGAAAAATCAGAGTCAAGAAGACGACAAAGTTCCAAATAAGGCCACGTACACAGGCACTAAGTAAGTATGTGAAGAACAATAAAGTAATGACCCAGACACGATACTAGCAACAGAAAGCGGATATGGCAAGGACAGTGCCGGGCGTTCAAACAATTCAAAACTTGAAAACAGACGAAAATAGAAGACAACAAGAGCAAGTAAACGGATTCAGAAGAGTTATGAAAGATTGAGCTTAATAAAAGAGTTTATGAACCTACCAAGAGAAATGAACGCCGATATGAATATCGCCGGAGTCAAATAGATGACTGGAAGTCGGGACCCACCGAAGAATGTGAGTGGAGCAGTTGCAAAGCTCTTGGAGTTTACGAATTAATGGAACAAGAACCTCGGCTAGGAGGTGTGATCTCGAGCAGCTTGGAAAGCATGAAGCTTGATACTTGAACAAAGTGAACAGTAAAGTCCAGGAAACTTTGAGGTCGACGAGTTTGATCTCGGACAGAGGGGCACAGATGAACGAACAGTGTAGGTTCCATCACCTCAGAATACCGAGGTAATAAAACTAGGGGGCAGTTGTGGGGATATATTTCTGAGTACCAACACGTGGCCAAGGTGAGCCAACGTGTCAGCCGAGGTGCCACATGTCCTGATTGTTATGCCGAGGTCATCTCGGATAGGCCGAGGTTACTTCCGAAGATATCGGAATCCGAGATAAGCAGATAAGGGGCAAGAGTCCTAGAATAAGAGAAGACTTCAGTTTGTAATTAAGATAAGACTCTTAGAGAGTTTATCCTAATCTTACTGGGAGTCCAAGATTAGCAGTAATCCTGAGTCCATAGAAGTTAGGCTTCTATTGGGACTAGGATTGAGTTGGCTATAAAAGAGAGGCACCCCCATGGGTCTAAGGTATACTTTTGATACTCAAGCTTGTGAGTTTAGCACTTGATTTATCTTTGAGAGATATACTGATTTGATTGTCGGAGTGCCCCCGGGTGGACGAACTACCGCCGGAATCTTCTCTTTCTATTGCAGGTTAACCAGGTGCCATCTATTCTGCCGGTGCTCTCCAGCTGGTTACTAAGCGGGCAGTGTGGTCAGAAAATCACTCACACAACTAATATTGATAGTCAAGAAATATCTCAAGAAGCAAATAGTATATCTCAAAAAGAATTACAGGCAATTCGACTTGGAGATGTAATCAGAGAAGAAAAACTTTTATCGACGAAGAATTAGCAAAGTTTGAAAAAATGCACGAAGTTGTTGTGCCAGAAATTTATAAACTTTCAAAATTCAACTTCTTTTCAGCAAGAGTGTTTGAACAATACAGTGACAACACTCAAGCAAAATGGTCAGAAGAAGGAAGTATTGGCATTCCTTTTTTTGATAAGAAAAATGTTGCAAGATGTAAAAAGAAATATCCTGAGATTCAATATATTCATATTGGATTAATACAGGTAACCATAACAGCCTTATTCCGCCAAGGGATAGATACTCCTATTTTGGCAATAATTTTTTATAAAATATTTTCCGACCTAATGAAAGCAATCATTAGAGGAATTTAATCTAATTTGGCTAATGTAGTAGTTTGGTTTAATGTTAGACCAAATTTCTTTATTTCCATAAATGATCATAATCTTGAAGACACAGTCAGAATATGAATTAAAACACAAAGATCAGGAATGAAATCGAATTCCCATGATTTGACTATTCGTTGGAAAACAATTCACGAATTGACTAAATTTCCTGAAACAAAAACAATATCAAACGATAATAAAATTCTTGGAATCTTTAAATCAAAGACCATTTGACACGGTAATCTAACCTCGTCTAATGAATTAGAGCGATTTAGAAGTCCCTCGACAATGGTTAATCCATGACCTTATGGGACAAGGAGAATCTTCTAAAATAAAAAAAATCGTACACAAATACAAATGCAAGCATCAGGAAAAAATTTATATATTAAAAATACAGTTTCAAAAATTAAAAGATCAACATCTGTATTTAAAAAAGATTTTCCTAACAGATCATTTTCAAAATTAAGCACTGGTGAATCGAGTAATAATTCTAATTAAGAATCTATTACTTCAAACAATGTTCACATTCCTATTTTCCCAAGAACAAGAAGACAATTTGAACATATTAAGTTTGCATATATGTATCATTTTCAAACAAAAAATTATAATATTATTTTTTCTCCTAACCAAGGAAAAAGAAGATATACATATGTATTGGGAACATTTAATTTTGTAAGTTATAAACCGCATAGTCTCAGTGTTCTCATAGACACAAGAGTTACAATCAACTCAAGTAAATAGAATGCCATACCAAAAGAAAAATGGACATTAATGAAACATCCAATTTTGGTTACTGGAATTGATGGAAACCATACTTCCATACAATTCAAGGCTAAAAATATATAGCTATTTGGTTAAATGATAGCAAATTCATTATACCAAAAATTCTATGTTTTCCTTATATGTATTGAGATTTCCTTCTTGGAAATAATTTTATATATAAATACCTTCCAATGTAAATACAAGAAAAAATTATTTCATTAAGCATAAATAATGTTTTAATTTACATTCCATTGTTAAAATAACATAAATATATTTGTAATAAAGAGTTTGCACTCATTTCACGTGGTGATTTAACTACCATCATCAAAACTACTGATGATATACTTATCATCAATATTTGCCTCAACAAGATTCGTGAGTACTAACTCAAATGACAAGTCCAGAGAAAAATAACATTTATTTGGTAAAAAATTTGAGACTTATAACATTTTCTAAAGTATAAAATTATGTGAAACATTTGATCCTTTATTTGATAAAAAATTTGAGACCTAAAATATTTTCTAAAATATAAAGTTTGAGCTAATAGGTCATCTCACATTCGAAATTTTATCCTACAACCCATCAAAGGATAATGGTTACTTTTTATCCCCAAAAAAAACAAAACAAACAAACAAACACAATGTCTCAACAAGAAAAACATTTAAATACCTTCTCCATGCAAGTACCCTCCTTTCAATGGTGATCTGATCCTAAAATATATGCCCCTTGAACAAAACTAGCTATGAAGTAGGCAAAGAAATTTAGAAGGAAGCATTACAAGGTGCTGTCCTACATACATAAACCTACAAAACAGTTCTAGACAACCTCTAAGCAACGAAAAAAGCTCTAAGTTGAATCCATCTGCAACAATTATCTGACAGTGGGACATATTTTTATTATTATGTACAAATTATTACAAAGGCCCAGTATTTGTCATCAGGGAAATTTTACAAACAAAAGATCCTGTGATAGGTCTTTTTAACTTTAGTAACTCACACCGATACATGTACATACATGTGGACTAAATATTTTATTGAATTCATGAAGCGAAAGATCATTATCAATCATCTGATGTGCCTTCTCCAATCTTTTCCATTTCTAAATCTCCTACCTCACTTGGATTGGCATCAACATCTTCATCAGGAGCTGATTCTTCACTGAGTCTCTTGTCGCTATCTACAACATTTTTTGCCTCAACTGTCTCATTTACACTCAATGTTTCACTATCATTGCTTTCTTCCACCATTTCTTCAACTCTATAATAAACCTTTACAGGAAAATAAGGGAAAGTCAGCCTTCTGCTTAATCATCATTATAAACATGGAAAATTTTACCATAACTACTTTTGAATTAATAATTCACTAGGTCAAGCTTCGAGAGAGAGAGAGACTTGACTCTGTTGGGAAGCTATACAGTCATAGTAAGCCATCTTAACCGATTAAAACAATAAGATTTCAGTGTATCTTTTAGCATCATTCAAAACAGCATTAATTTTAGTAAGTCATAGACTGAGATTAAACCAGCGAAGTCATTATCACAATTGATTAAATTTCCTGCATGTGACATGCCCAGCTGCACATACAACAAAAAAGCAGAAGCTATTTACTGTTATTTTCTGTAATTAGTCATGATTTCAATTATTTAAACCAAAAAAAATCTTAATTCTTTATTTTTTTTTAAGGGGCATTTCATCATTTTTGTATGGTAAAAAGAGATGCATGCACTCATTTGACAGATAACAACTCTGTCAAATGAGTAATTAATCAACTCATCCATGGCATTCCTTAGCCAATAAATGGTTTCCATAGCAACAAATTGAGCCTTTCTGTTTTGATGCATTTGATCACTTATTCTGGCAAAAACATAAAGTAGAAACAGAAAAGACCCAAAGAGAAGCATACCACACAAGTGCGCGGCGGTGAGAGTACTTTTAAGGAATTGGGACGGTTGTTAAAATTTGTTTCAGGAACTCCAGGTATTCCTTCAGGGGATGTGAAATGATCTGCATCATGGCCCACCTGCCAAACAAAATTATCCACTATATCAAGAGATGCGTACATGTTTCTGACCATCAATGAGAATTGAAGTAGCTTAGAAGAAGGATAAAAATGATTTTTTTTTTCATTAATTTAATTAGGGGTCCATGGAAATTATGGGATGTAAAGAGGTTTTCAAACCCCATAAAAATGCTCCATAACCCCGAGGCTGTGGCTCCATTTGAATTAATCGTCCAGCCAACTGGACAAGAATGGCGGCTCATGGTTGGCCCTTCAGGCAATGGAGTTTACTGTAAAATGTATACCATCTTTGTACGCATGGGCGATAGCAAGTGATCAATCGGGACAGTAAAACTTTTAGCACAACTAAAGTCCAGATACATCATTGTTAAGCATAATTAAGAGTTCCATTTGGAGATTCTGTTAAAGATGTAAGCCCAAAGATGACATCAGTCTGTTCGGATAACAACTCTGGAAAATCATCTTAAAGACTTGTGTGCAAGTCTCCCCATGAGTTTGGAGGTCCCAATTCTTAGTCATCCCACTTTGGGCCACCCCTAAAAAAGTTTCCTGGAAATTACCTAATGGATGCTGCATTTGGAGACTACATGTGCCCATGGGTCAATTGGGTGCTCCAAGAGGCAAGGACAACTAGTCCGCAAAAGTGCAAAACAATGAAAGAACAAAAACAAAAAGGGATCCTTACTCTTCCATGTCCACCAAACTCCCAAGCATCACTATCCAGTGCAACCCTATACTTTCCAGGCAGGTCACACCCAACTTTGTACCTGTATGTTTCATAGCACAGATCACATAAAGAATTTTAAAAAGCTCATAACTATAACCTTACCACCATCATCACAATCATCAAGCATAATTTAAAAATATTCTAAACTTAATTCCACAAATTCAGTTCTTCCATTCAGTCTATATGGAACCACATTCACATACAAAAAAGCAACTACCCTGAATATATTGATACATACCCATCGTATGTATTCTCTGGATGAAAGTTGAACACAAAAACTAGATCACCTCGTTCAAAAACAATAACCTGAAGGTGAAACAAACAATCAACATTTCAAACATTAGTGAAGCTGTTTGAATGATATTCTTCTTCCTTGAATAAACCACAGTCCACACCAATAAGAATCCCGAACATATGGAAAAGCAGAAGACTTTAACTAGCAGCATGGCACCCAGACCACTCTATGGCCATTATTCTTGTTCATATAGTTAAAGATATACACAAAGATATCTATCGTATCAAGGTTCCATCAAATTAACTCCCACTCCCACACAAATGCACAAGTTCAATGAATTGCTTGGATTTGATTACAACATCCCAAATACCTACCTGTGTAAACCCTTATGGAATGAATACTTCTCGGAAGTAATCTTTCCCGACTAAATTAAAAATTAAGTTATGTATTTTCAGCATTTAAAATTCTACGTGAAAAAAAAGAGTATAAATCATGAGCATATCTGTACCTTGTCATCTTCATTTGAGCTGCTCACAATCAGTTTTGTAGATGCGAGGAACGAATATTTATCATCAAGAGAATTCATAGCTCTGTCAAAAGCATTCATAAACTGCAGAATTTCCAATCAAAAAGCATGAAAAACTTATTAGAATTCAATTACAAGAAGCCAAAAAAAAAACTAAATATGAAATAGCAAACAACATTATTGTCAGCAGGGAGGACTAGAAGTTAACAACAAGATTCTTAATGATTTCTACAGCAGTAGCGGCATCCCGCCATATAGCAACACAACACAGCCTACTGTCATAAGCTGAGCTAAGTAGGTTCTTGAGGCATTAGTAATATGGATTTTAGCTAAACCATAAATGAAAATAATTTCAAATTTTGCAAATGTTAAAAAAAATTGAGAAGTCAAGGCCACAAAAGTCCAGCTATAATCTAAGGAATCTCAACGGAGTGACCGTAATAAATTTTAGCTGACATCCTTCTGTGAGGACCTTATTTGTATGTGGAAGTGGGTAGGGTTGAGGTTGCCGAATAATGTCCGGAACCAAGTACTGTATGAAAGCAACAAACCAAAGATAACAAACAATTAAATTAGTAAAAATTAACTTTAACCTTGAATCTCAAATGATCTGTATCCACCAGGTCCCATTGACGCCTGCATTTGCCATAACTCCAATCATTGCCTTCTCTTGGGAAGTCAATCCAATCAGGATGGCCAAACTATAATCAGCATTCAGGACAGAGAATATTAATATAAACACATTTTTAAAAGTACATGTATAAAGTGAAATAACTGTATTTGTTTGTCAGCCTCATTCTACAAATGGGTTCCCCAAAACAGATTTATACTGAGCAGACTCAGCAGAGGGAGTAAACTCACCCTTGGAGAAGAGTGTCCGGGCTTCTTTTCACTTTTTAATATGATTTCTTTAAGCCTATTTAAAAAAGAAGGATCCAAAAAAGTGGCTTTCCAACCTGTGCTTGTTTTATCTATTTTGCTCATTTATTCGCATGTTTTGAACTTTGAGCAATGTTTCACAAGAGCATCCTTACAAATCTTATTTGAGCAGAAATTCATCTTTCTTTTAAAAATGAATTTTCTCAAAGGAATCCAAATTAAAATCTTAATGTGATACTACAACTTTATTATTTCACATATATCTGAGCCTTGATATGCATTAAATCCGTGAATTTAGCAGGTTAGGGTGGGGGGCTGGGGACCTACTACTTACCTCATTTCCCATGAAGTTAAGGTAGCCCTCTCCTCCTAATGCCATTGTTATAAAATGAATCATCTGCACACACACAAAAAAAGTTGCAACAAGAAGAAATATGTCACGCCGCAAAATTTGGATAATAAAATATTAAATTAGGACTAAATACCAATCAATATTCCATCATCCAAATCCTAAGGGTGAAACAAAATCTAAATGTTTTCGTCATAATTTGGTTTAAGTAAATTTCAATGCTCAAAAAAAATTACAAGGGATAAATAAATAAATAAACAAAACGTCAATCAAACCATCCATCATAAATTCATTACTATCCAATTCCTCCAACATTAAAGTAGCAACAAATAGTCAAAACAATTTAAATAATGTAAGATTAGAAAATAACCTACAATGCCAAATTATCAAAATATTAAGGTAAAAAAAAATACATAAATAAATAAATTAATATCAACCCTAAACTCAAGAAAATAAAAGAAGTCCAAAAAACATGTCCTACAACCATAGTTATTTCTCGTCACCATCGTAGTCCTAACTAATCCTGCAAAGGAAGGTCGGTTGCGTTCAAACAGAACGCACTCGACATGCAAATAGACAAAATGGGTCAGTATATAAGTATACTGCTATGAGTACAAGATTTGACACCTAAAGGTACATTTAATTCTTGTTACGGCACAAGACAAGTAGTTCCACCCGCATCGAGACGAATAAGCAGTTTCTTGAGATATGGTGACATTTAGTTTCTTGCTTGTACACAAGTAAATATAAATTGAGTATAAAAAAAAATATGGTGGGTCAGCCCTGCATAAAAAGTTAGTAAGACACACCATTCTACAAAAAAATAAAGTTAGTATAATTTAATCATAAGTAAATTATTGAAGAAGTATAAAAATGCACAGTTTCATACTTAAATCATTCGAACTGACCAAAACTCAAAGAACCAAAGTTGTACAGAATCCAATTTCCTAAAAGGCAACGCGGAAGAATTTAGTAGAAACTGAACAGGCTGAGAGAAAAACTTGATAGAAGAACCTAGACGGAAATCAAACAAAAAACCTGAAGCTGAAAACGAAAAGAAATTGTCCTAAAATGATTTTTCTCGAAAAAGTCCAAAACACAAAAAGTGTTCAGAATAATGTTTTACTTCAGTTTATGCGAAATCAATGAAAATGAGCTCGTTTTGTAGGTTAAAACAGTATCTAAAGTCTGCATTGCTAAAATAAATAAAAACTATCAAATTGATCTTTTTAGTAAACAATTAAAATACAAAAGTTGTCTAGGATTACGTTTACATGCTTCTATCTAAATTTCGTAATTTATCAAGGTCGTTTACTATTTTTCGAGATGTATAAATCAAAACAATCCAAACTATACCAATAAGTTCGTATTTAATTCTTTGTACCTTAATTCCACCACTTCGACCCTTCACTTCCAGCCTACACATATATCCCATGTGTCTCCCGTATACCTAACACCGCTCCGAAGTCAAACTTACACAGGGATATCGTCCCGAGTTTGACCCACACTCCCCGATGGTTAGCATATACGTACGAGCGTAAATTAAAGCACTCGTCTACTCCTAATAACGAGGCAACAATATATATATATATACACAACCCCTTATCTACTCGTGAGAACAAACATAACAATGCCGAGCCTAAGGTATTCAAATAAATCTCATAATCCTCACCTTTTTTTTTTTTACACTATTTCTCCTTAACACTTAAATAAAACAACAATTCACGGAGTCATGATGGAGTATACGGAATTTATCAATGGGTTCCTAATTTATTTTAATTTTATTCATATATCCATGAGTGTGATTACATCCATAAAATAAACATATATATATATACACAACTAATCAATCCATCATCTACATGCAAGTACAATATCAACCCAATATCAAATAAATAAATAATAACAACAAAATAAACATAAATCAAGGAAAGTGGGTTTTGCATTCACAATTATTTTTTTGAAGATCAAAGAAATACTTGGAGAATTAATAAAGCCACTAAAATAAAACCCTCACCCTTTTTTTTTTTCCTCTACCTCTCCTCTCTCTCCCCGCCATCTCTCTTTCTCGGAAATTCTTCCGCACACAAAGAGCACTCCCTTTTTTTTTTTCTTTTTTTTTTTCACCCCCTAGTGACAACAACACTCTTAAGATTATAACCTAATTTACTATTATATTATATTTTATTATATAAATACAACATATATAAATATGCTATATACGATCAATATATATATATAAATATTTGGATTAATTATATATGATTAAATATCACATTAAATTCTCATGTATTCGCGCCATTAATAAAGCAAAAAAATAAAGTAATAATAATAAATAATGACTTAACAAAAATTAAGGTTGCTACAAAATATGATAAGAAAAACATGAAGGCTTTGATGACGCCAATTCATATTAGGGAAAGGAGAGTGAGGGGAACAGGGGGCAGCCCTTGTGAGTCCCTTATTATGTAATGTATTAGAAATTATAAAAAACTCGTTGTTTCTGGATTGAATGTCTAAACCAGTACCAGACATATTGCTAAAAGAATCATAATTTTACTAATGCGTCCCTTAGCCAGGTTGGACTTGAGATGTGTAACCTCAGTTGTGTAGAGACCGTCAGCCAAATTGAGGACACAACCCTAAGAAAAAAAGGTCAATAAAAATGTGTAGAACAGAACAGACCTTATGAAGTGCAATCCCTCGTTCAATAGTGGGAGAGGCATCCACCAAACAAGACATGCCAGAATACATTTCTACATCCATCAGAAGAAATGCAATAGTTTTGTCACCCACAATGGCCTACACAACAGTGCAAACAAAAAAATCCAGAAACATATGAGAAAAAGAAGTTTCAATTGATCATAGTCCTGAGATGAATGGAAGTAATGATTAGATGATGTCAAGATTTAGCAAACAAAATAAGATCCACCAAACTTTTGTGTTCCATTTTCTGTGGCAAGGGAGTTGAGACATCAAGTTTGAAATATTTCCAAAAGGACCAAGAGCTGGGAACCAGTCCAAGGATTTTCAAGATGAACATTCATCAAAAACTAATCCAAAAAAAAAAATCATCAAAAACAGAAAATCCCATACCTGGTCATGACTCTCAGCATAAGCTATACACTTCTCGCTGTATCTCCTATTCGTTAAACTCCATGATATTTCCTGCATTGACCACTCATCATCTGTCTTGTTCTTTACGTAATCAATCCACTTGTCAGGAATAGCCATTGCCAGGCGGTAATCAAAGCCAATTCCCCCCTCAGAGACTGGCCGACCAAGTCCAGGCATACCAGAAACATCTTCTGCTATTACAGTTGCATCTGGCAAGATATTACGAATCAAGCAATTGGCCATCATCAAATAAACAACGGCATCAACATCTGTTTCCTCACTAAAATACTCATTATAATTGCCCGTGAATGCCATGTCGATTCCATGGTGATGATACAACATGGATGTTACTCCATCAAATCGAAAGCCATCAAACTTGTACTCCTCTAGCCACCACCTCAGGTTAGATAGAAGAAAACGGAGAACTTCCCAATTAGCATAGTTAAACAGTCTGCTATCCCATAAGTTATGGTAGCCCCGTTCTCCAGTGTGGAAGTAAGAATCTTGTGAGCTCTGGCCAACATCAAAGCCATTAAGGCCATCCATACTATTATTACCTGCATGGCTGTGAACAGCATCCATCAAAACCTGTAAACCTAAGCTATGGGCTTTATCAATCAAATACTTGAGGTCCTCAGGGGTTCCAGATCTATTGCTGACAGCAAAGAAGTTTGTAACATGATACCCAAATGACCCATAGTAGGAATGCTCCATTATGGCCATCAACTGGACTGTGTTATAGTTATTTGCTCGAATACGAGGCAAGACATCATCGGCAAACTCTCTGTATGAATTAATACGGGGTTCTGAGCTGCTCATCCCAACATGAGCTTCATATATCCGTGGGGCCTCGGGCTTTGGAGGACGAGGAAATTTAAATTGGTACCTGCATGGTTGATGAAAGTATGGGTTAAAAATCAACCAGAAATTTTTATTTGTACTTCAATCCACGATAATACATAATATTAGCTTCATCATTATGATGAAATTTAAACAAGTGAATGATTGAAACATCGATGATGTAAACTTTATTTTACAACTAAATTATCAAGCAATGCTAACAGCCCAGGAAAGACTGCCTCATAATTATGGGTCCCATTGTTTGTCAAGTAATGTTAAGAGCCCAAAAACTCTGCCTCATAATTATGGCCCCTTCATTTTGGCTCTTCCAATGGTCTTTTTGTTCTTGAAGGAAGATATTAGCACCTTTCTGAGGACGGTGGATCCCAGTAAACACCATCATATGGTGCAGCAAATTTTGCAGGGTCCACAGTAGCATACTTTATCCACGCTGGGATTCGATCAACCCAAACTCCATCACCGTGCTTGAATCGAAACTTGACTCTAGAATTGTGAGGAATAGCTGGATTCCCACCAGAATCAGGAATCTTGATACTCCAAACTCCAAATTCATTCTTTTCCATCACGTGGTTCGAACCATTCCATTCATTGAAATCCCCAATAACTTGTGCTTCCCTACATCATTGTAAAGTCAACTTCAAAGTCAGCACCCACAGAAAATACCAAAAGTACAGATATCACGTTCTATTTATGTAAGCTGAAGATCTTACTGAGCAGCAGGGGCCCACTCACGATACACTATGCCACCTTCTTCTCTATTAAAACCAAATTTCAAATAACCTGCAACATAGATCCAATGATAGTCAGGAGCTCTATACTGAAGAAGCAGTTAGTAACCAAATCAAAGGTTTATTTAAGTCATTGAACAAAAATTTGAAATCCAACTAGTACATCGAAGGAGAAATACACTTTCATAAGAAATGATGATCAAATCTTCCTTTCCTTCAATGGAATTCATTGGATTGTAAGAATTAAAACCATATGCTTCAGCTGATTGCAAGGAAAATTCATTTATGCTGTGTTTGGTTGGGGGATTTGGAGAGGGATTTGGAAAGAGAAATGGAAACGGTAGGTGAAATGTGAATAAAACATACTTATATTTCACTTAGTTTCACACACCTTTTCCTTTTCCCTTTCCAAATCCCTCCTCAAATCCCCCAACCAAACACAACATTAAGCATCCAGCTGATGAAGTAGATGATAAAGTATCAATGAGACATGCTTAATCTCCTGTTTGTTGCAGTCTCCAGCAATTACAGATGTACAACAAGTGGATCCCACCATTTCACAAGCTGGAAATAAAAAGGAAAAGTGGAAATTATTTGCATTGCTGATATAAAAACATCACCTAGTGCAAATTCCTCAAGGCTTCCTTCATATTTCTCGATGAACTTTTTCTGATCCACATATCTTTTCACTCTGTATCTGAAGTGATCTATAAATGGTTCCAAACCAGGATCTGTGCCCAGGAGACCAATATTTTCAGTATCATCTTCAGAGGTTGTCATTGTTGAGTTGTCATCAGTCAAGATAGCCGAGGTTGTGGAACTGAGGCCCGCCTAGTTTAGCAAACCTATCAGATAAGTACTGACTTACAAAAGCATATTGCAAAGACTAATTAGGTTGATGCTTCCTAAATAGTCATCAAACAAGAATTTATTCTTCAATTGAATCAAGATGCTAAAAGTTGGATTCTGGTTTTCGTAAAAAAAATTGTGTGTTTCATTTCTAATGTAAAGACAGCCAAACTAGAGATGAATACTAATATAATGGTCCGATTATGAGAAAGAAATTAGCAGTCCCTGCAATCTGTCAGAAATGTCAAAAACTCAAACATACCCTCCAATATGTTGAGATTTTTGAGGAAGAAAGTAATTTGCGATGCCCAAGCAAAATTCGAGACCCACTGAAAGCTCCAATTGTCTTCTGCGTGGAAAGGTACTGTTTATGGTTTGAGGCCTGTGCGAAAAATTAGTCAAGATTATACAGATCACTACATCACTCAAATTGAATCAAATCTGGAAGGTAAAATAAAATACAATAAAATTAAAAAAGGGTGCTATACATAACCATGAAATAGCATCTTGTAGAATAATATATGTGGCAAACTTGAAAACAACACTCCTGAATTACTTTATTGTAAAAGGCTTGTAAAAATTGGTCTTCGCTAGGTTTATGTTGAAGTTCTACAATGTTTTGTGCTTCACATCAAATTTTCTGCAAACCTGAAGCTTTTTTTTTTTGGCAACGAGTACATTGATAAATATGGTGAAAGATAACAGTCAACCCTTCCCAAACAACCCCTTAATCATTAGCTGATTATCGAAAACAGTTAATTCTACAAACTAGAACTACAGAATCAACTCAATCCAACAAAACAAAAACTGAAAGAATAAAATCAAATTAGGAATCACCGAACTACAGAATCAACTCAATCCAACAAAACAAAAACTGAAAGAATAAAATCAAATTAGGAATCACCGTCGCAGAATCTTTGCTGGTGAAGGGTGTTAAACACCCAATAACAGGTGTCCAAAGAAGACCCAACGATCCGTACATTTTCTCCAAATCAGCCTCTCTCTCTCTCTCTCACACACACACTCTCTCTCCCTCTCTCTCTAATAATCTCAATCCCTGCAAAATACCACTCTGAAAATATATACATCTGAAAACAAAGTTATGGCCGTCGGATGCATCTGCTGGATAGAGACGTTATAACTACGATCACGATCGTGACATGAATCAGGGAAAAGTGAGCCGTGAATTATTGGGTTCCACAGTCTCCCTCCAACATAGCAAGCAAAGCATATGCCCCTCCACCACCAACACGTCACCTCAAATTTAGCCGTGAAAAAAAATAACAAAAATGCTTTAGAGTTCTAATATAGGAGCTCTAATAGTTCTAATGGGAATGTGAGACCCACTCTGATATGATGTTTGTGCCTTGCCTTGTTTTTTTTTTTTTTTTTTTTTACTTGGACACATCACTAGAGCTCAAATTAGAGCTCTAGATTTAGAGCTCTCTAGCATTTCCCAAAAAATAATAATAATAAAATTCGTTATAATAAAAAATAAAAATCCTGTTAATTTCCTACTGATTCAAAGTATTCACAAGGGACGGTCATGATCAAGTGTCGCACGAGCATGTATCTCTACAAAAATTATTTAATAATTTCAAAATATTACGTACTGCAAGTTAATTATCAATTATTTAGTCTTATGTTATTTCCTTTCATTCTTTATCAATTAAAACTTTATAAAATATCACATGTGCATATTTCAAGACCACCGCTAGAATTGCCCTTCGTTGTATTGTATGCTAAGGAAGGGAGAAGGGATGGTTGGGATTTTAATTTATTCCATAGATCCGATAGACTATAATATTGAATCGGAAATGAGCCGTAGCTCGCATCCAATGGCTCGAATTGGCTCGAAAGAGAGAGAGAACAGAGAAGGAAGAAGCAGAGGAGAAAGAGAGAGAGAAGAGAGGAAGAAGAGAGGAGGAAGAACAGAGGAGAAAGAGGGAAAGAAGATCGTCGTTGCTCGCCTCGCCACCACCACCGTCACCGCCGTCGCCTCGCTGCCAGCGATCGTCGCAGCACCAGCGATCGCCGACTCTGCCTCGCCTCCGCCCCCCGGCCCCCGCTTCCAGCCCCAAATGTTGGGGCCCCTCCAGTCTCTCCTCCTCCTCCCCTCCTCCTCCTTCCTCCCCTACTTCTGGTTCTGCTTCACCTTCATCTCAAAAAACGAGGCCGTTTTTGAATTCGAGCCATTTCGAGCCGCTCGGTTTCGAGCTACCTATCACTGCCAAATATTGAATATGCCCGATCAATAGAAACAATAAGTGGAGAAATTTGAAAATTGTTAAAAAATTTAAGGAAAGTTACATGTAAATTCTTATAGGTCAACTTGCTATTCAATAAATTTTATGATAATTAATAGAATTTTTTATCCACCATTAGTAAAAAAAAAATAGTTAATTTTTAGCGGCAGTAAAAAATTTTATCATAAAAAATGTCATTAATTATAAGTTTTAACAATAATTTTAAAAAATTATCACAAAAAAGTTGTTAATTTTTAACTTTCATCGACAGTTTTAAAAAAATATCATTAATTATAAATTTTGGCGACAATTTATTAAAACAGACAAAAAAATCACTAATTGTTAATTTTTAGCGACATATATAAAAAAATTGTTACAAAAAAAATTATTTTTAACAACAATTTTACTAGAATTTATTTTCAATAGGAATTATTGGGAATTAAGTCCAAGACTTAATTATAAGTTTACCTAAAACAGACAAAAGATTACTAATTGTTATATGTAGAAAATCGTTACAAAAAATTATTTTTAATAATGATTTTATTAGGACTTAATGGAAATTTTGGTAGTTTATCTAAAAATTTATTGATTTAACCCAAGTACCGGACCTACTGAAAAGATAATAGTATTAATTTACATTGAAGATCAATACTGCAAAATCCGTTGTAGTCTAGTTGGTTAGGATACTCGGCTCTCACCCGAGAGACCCGGGTTCAAGTCCCGGCAACGGAAGTTGTTCTGTTTTTCCTTATCCTCAAACTGTTTTTCCTTATCCTCAAAATGGATTTAAGGGTAAATCTGTTTACTATTTTCTGTGTTTCTTTTTTACCAGGTTAAGGTCTTGAGTTAGTGCCACTGGTCAAGGACTAATGAAATTGTTGATGTGTGTTTTGGGTCTTGAATTGTGTCTTTTTCTGATGTGTGTTTTGGGTCTTGAATTGTGTCTTTTTCTGATCATTCGAAACTAATGACTTTTTGTGTTTTGAACAGTAGTGCCATCATTGGTGTGCAATTTAATGTCTTTTTTGTGATCATTTCGAACTGGTATATCTTCGTGTCTTCTTAATGGCAGGCAATGATGCTAAGGTGCTTTGATAATGCTAAGGTGCCATCATTGGTGTCCAAATTGTTAATATCCGTTTTTGATCATTTGAAACTGTCAATATGTATATTTTTGTGTCTTTTTGTAATCATTTGAAACTGTTAATATATATTTTGATATAATATATATTTTTGAGCAATGCTATATCGTCCGAATTTTTGTTTGTCCGAATCGAAAGATGATTTAAACTGCAAACGAACTGAGCTGAGCCTTTGCTGGATTTGAGATCGGCTCACTCACTTATTGAGTTCGTTTATTAAGTTCGAGCTCAGCAAGGAATTGGGCTCGAGTCTGGCTCGGCCTGTTAAATATTAATGAAACTCGATCTCGGTCGACAAACGTGACAACCACGGTAGACAAATGTTGCAGATCCAGCAAGTCAATCGGCATGCACAAATTCGAACAATTGAGACAAACTCAAATTAGACCTCCCAATCATTTTTGTGTCTTCTTAAAGGCATTGGCAAGGCCAGAAAATATATCCAATAAATGAGTCATTAATTTATCTCATTCACATTCACAGGAACTACTGGTTCAAATATTCATTATTTGTTCAAAAAAACAAACATTAAAGTGAACGAACATCAAATAAAAATTAAAACTTTCAAACAACATTAATTTGCGCCCAGGGGCAACTTATGTTGCTCAAATTTGCACCCCCCACCTGGTTACTACTTGATTCCCTTGAAGTTAGTTACCGTTTATTGGGTTATCAATTTCAGCTATTACATCCTCTGCTAAAATCCATCCTCTAACAGAAAGTAAGCGGGTTCTGATTTCGCAGCATAACCATATTTAGACGTGCTATACTTTCGATGCACACCAGTGAGCTTCCCGGTGCCTGCTTTCTGATGGAAAGTAACCATCAGTCTCGAACATTCCCTATAAAAAACCAGGAACACATATCAGTCAATACTCAATACAACAACACACAGAGAATGTTGCATAAATAGTCATGAATTTTGACGATAAACGAAGAAAGAGAGCGTGCACTTACAGGAGCTGATTTTCAGAGTACTTGGTATGCCTCTCGCTTGTCTTAGTCCACAGCTTCGATCCATTGAGAGCACACTGAGCGGTGAAGACTGCTGCAGCAGCTAATAAAGAAGGCGGGAACTTGACCATTTCATACTCAACCAAGGACAACTCGATTATAAAGAAAGACAGAAGCTCCAACTGGTTTTTCAGGTCATTTAGAAAATCATCTATCAGAATGTATAATTTTTGAACCGCAAAAAAAAAAAAATCTGAATTGCCACTACAAAGTACAAACCTTTTTGTCAGATTGAGCAGCTTTGAGGAACCTCCTCATAAACACATATGGAGTGGGAACTGATAGATTAAACTGCAATGTGTTGACCATTAATTTCTCCTGCAATCGATAGAAAATGCTGTTAGGTCCCCACTAGAGAAGAAAAAATACAAACAAGAAAACAAGGAATGCAAATGGAGAGGAAACCCTAGTGATAACCACGTTAAATTATCACTAGTACCAAAAGCTTTAGTAGTTAGGAAATGTGTCCAACAATATATATATATCAAACTGCCCAACAAACATTGTGTAAATCTATCTATCTAATATACAAAAATGTGAAAATAGTAAAACACATTTTTGGACAATGCATTAGGTAGAAATTTACCATCTGAAGCATTTCTTTTCTGCTGTAAGCCTTGTCGGAAATCAGAATGAGATCCTCCATAACAGGAACCGAGACTTCTTCGTATTTGCAAGCAAGAAGCATTGCCGTCACCCCAACAAGCTGTAGTTTCTTCCTCACCACCGGTTGGACTGCTAAGAATCTATCAATAAGATTCACAGTCAGATATAAGGTCTCATCCATCAGTTCGAACTTGTAGTGCACCTGTTCATCCATTGATCAAACGGTTATGGTTATCAAGGCTGTTTATAGTTTATATCCTGGAAATTAATTAAGCCACTAACTAATACAGCATTTCATATACCTCAATGAGCCAGTCAATCAGAATACCTCTCATCCTTTCATTAATGTCAAATTGCTGTCCAATATAGTTTGGCAAGACACAGCTAGAACTCTACATTTAGAAACCAAAAAATATTGCTTAGTTTTATAGACAAACAAGCCCCATGAAAATGTGGGTGGGATTAAAAAAAATATATATATAGTTACACTTCACAAATCTGTGTCTCAATGATAAAACTGTTTTAGCCGAGTGGTTACTGATATAAAGTGATCCTCTAAAAGAATGACAATTGAAACCACAACTTTGGTGAGAAACCAAATTAGCTGAGTTCAAAGTAAGATCTAGTGCACCAAGATAACAAATCCATCAAGTTCAGTGATAAATACATGTATCAGTCCAAAGTAATGAGAAAATTATGTTTAACAGTTTGGAAGGAAACATTCAAGCAGGTATAATGGAAACTATATATACTACCTCAACTTTCTTGTAGTAGGCATATATGTCATCAATATACTCAACAACAGCAAGTGGATTCCTCTTATCACTGGTGTCTATGTCATCAACTGGGTCATCAGTTGTATCTTCCATTTCAACCTCCTACCAAAAAATAAAATTAAATTAAATAGAAAAATTTATAGTATTGTCCCCGCTAGAGAAATTAACTCAATCTTTATAGTAAAAGGAATATAATTACCATCCGATCTATTTCCTCTAGCATTGCCTCAGTGTGCTGCACAAACATTGGGACAGGGGAGTCACCGGCAGCCTTGTAGTCATCCACATCTATGATGCTACAATCTCCTGATTCAGTCGGAACGGGAAGTGATTGGACCACTTTTTTCGTTTCCTATGGATAAGTACCATCACCATGATTAAAACCAACCCAAACGTATATGTACTCTAATAAAATAAATTAATT